CTTGCCTTCTTTCCTTCCTTTCATAGTGAGCCTCACTTAATACTTAACAGTTCTTGGAGTTCAAGCTTTGATGAATTGTCCTATTTTAAATCCTTTTATATTAATGGAGCTGTTTTGTGCATGAAAGTAGAAGTTGGTCCTGAAAGAGTAAGTCATGTCTGGACAGGGCAGAAACAACTATCTGATGTTCAGAGCCAGTTAAGCCATAGAGTGTTCACTGATTTCCATTCTAGGCAACATTCAGGGAAGTTTGTGGAAATCTTGTGGTTTGATTTTGTAGTGCTTCACCCAGGTTATGTTACCCTTGTTTCCTGGATGACACTGCTGGTCAAGGATTCCCTTCTTCTGTGAACAATTTCTGCCCCGTTAATAGAGAAGAAAACCCAAAAAATGGTCCTACCATCTTGACTTTTCTCACTTCAAGGGACAAACCTTTATATTTCATATAGGGCTTTTGATCAAAACCATGCACACAATTGAATGCTATATATTTTTCTTAGTTAGAACTTAACAATAAAATGCCTGATTCTACTTCACTCACGTTACCTGTAAATAACAACTGAAGTCTGTGTGGTGAGCATCTGTAAATTATTTCTGTTGAAAAAAGAGTGCCTATGCATCCTTTATTCCTGTCAGTAACAATCTGTGTCTTTCATATGTGATAGTGTAGTTTAGATGTTTTGATAACTGTACAGTAGAGGAAGAAAATGTGAATAAAATAAATGGGAAAAAATTCTATTTCCAGCTGTGAATCTTGGAACTGTAAAAGCTAGTTGAGAATAGCCACATGATGATGAGCATATTTTCTCTATTTCAGGCAGAAATACTTAGATATGAGAAGATTAGGTAATTTTCCCAAAGTCACACAGAAAACATGGAAAAAAGAAAAAAATACAATCTTGAACTTCTGATTCAAACTTGTATTTATTTTTTCAGGACTGTCATTCCTCCTCTTGGTAAGGGTTTGCTATATCAAAGTCCTTGCTGCTTTCTACATCAAATCAAATTCACAACTCAGCTCACCTATCAGTATTAGCCTTGGCTTTAAAAAATCTGAATCTTAGAAAAAATATTAATGTAAAGTTCCATGGCATTAGCAGCAAATACTAGTCTGGAAAAATATTTTTAAAATTCACTAACTTTTAGTACTGACCTAACATACCTTTAACTCCTTCATTTTACTTGTGTGTCCTGAGGGGTTGTGTGTGTATTTATGCATATGACTAACTTTAGGCATCTGAAAAATTAATAAGAAAGCAGTTTCACCAGTTTCACAGCAAAGGGTGCATCTGGGTGTGTTTAATACATTTTTGAAGTACTGAAGTTCTTGAGGGAAATGCTGTTACATTAGAGGTACAGCCACTTTCTTTGCAAGCTTTCAGGCATGGCACTGTGTGGAAGGGTATAGATTTTCCTTTTTATTTTTCCAGTCAGTGGAAAACATTGCAGCAATTGTAAGTATGCCCATAAGTGTCCCACAGCCTTCAGGAAATGTTGCTCTACACAACTTTACATTGGAGACTGTGTGCTATACAATGACATAGTCTCAGATTTTTGTCTCTGTTTCCAAACCATCTTCTTGTACACTTGTGGAAGTGTAAATGTTGAGGGAAATGAGCAATGGCTTTGCTTTTACATTGTGGGTAAAACACTCCCCACAAAAATTCTCATTAGCAAGTTATTTACATAGGTATCATGTTTATTTTTGATGTGCATGATGAGCTTTACTCTCAGGTTATGTCTGGCACAGCTTAACCAGAGCTGCAGCTCTCTCTGCTCTACCCCATATCTGATGGCTTGACTCAAGCCTGACCAAGTTACACATTCTACCTATCCTCCAAGTTACAGTCACCATCAGAAGACCTATTTAGGCCAATTTTTATGTGCTTCTGAGTCATAGATCTGGTGGATTATGACTGAGTATGGACTGCAGTAAGCCAAATGAAAGTGGCTCTTTTTCCTACACTGATGTGACTCTTGCAGCATTTTCTTTGCTCTACAAGCTGGTTATACAGAATTCCAGTGCTATGTGTCCAGCAGAGCTTCCAGAACTGCTGTAACTAAAAAAAAGTGTTTTCCTACAAAACACAAATAAAATTTTATAATTGATTTTTATCGGACTGTTAAGCTGGATTTGCTGTGGAGAAACTTTTCTGCCTTTATTAAGCTTATGTTGATGATATGCTCGGTCTGTTCTCCTTAGAAGGGAAGTAAACAAGACAGCTTGTAAATCTTGACAACTCTTGTCAAGTTTGCATAAGTTTGAAAATGAGCATTTAGGTTATAAATTTGAGGGGGTAAAGGAGGCACAGTAATCATTTAGTGTACAGGATTGTGGCTCATGTCTAAAGTTGCTCAGAATGACACTAATAAGAATTTATTTACTTGTTTTAAGACTGCTTTTATATAAACCTCTTTATAGCATTCCTATGACATTAGCAACTCCAAGGCTACAAACACAGGTGTTTGAACAGAGATACTTGTTACCAGCCCCTGAAATACCATTGTGTGATACTAACACTGCATTGCAGATAAGGGCTCTCTTTCAGCAGTGTTTTCAGCAGCAGAGACAGATGGGTGCCCTGACAAGAGTTACTGGGACAGCTGTGTCTTTCAGTGAGGGATCTGAGGTGAAGGGACATGGTGGCAGTTTTTGGGATGGCCTGAGGAAAAAATGGCACCAAGAGCCCTGAGGAAAATGGGCACATGTGGGAATGGTGACTTACCCATGTTACACCCTGAGGCTCAGGAAAACACCCAAAAAAGCATTTTAAGTGTCTTTGTTTACTTTTGAATGTGAAGCTTGCTGTGGGTTTTGCACATGACTTCAGGGAAAATACTGTTTGCTATCCTGTCTTACTTGAGAATGTGTGAAATGTCAATGCTCAATGTCATATTCTGACACTTTTTAGTTCAGTGGTGGGTGTAAAAAAGTTTCCCAAAGCATGGAATGTGATCATAAGCTGGAAAACATGGGGAGTAAGACCCTATGTGAAAATTGGAAAGATTGGCAACGTGTGGCTGCTGCCCTATGCACTCCTTCAGTCTTGGCTTGCAGCAGCCACTCATTACAGTGGCTCTTGGCACATCCTTCACAGGTCCAGCAGTAGTGACCCATTGCTCAGCAGTTTTGCAGAACTGCTTGAATGATCAGGCCAAACAGTTTCTCTGGTGACCCAAGCCTGAGTTTGTGCGCCCATGAAGGGGCAGAGCCTGTGTGTTAACTCCCAGCACCACTTGCCATTGCTTTTGCCAGCAGCCTGCTCTGTGAACAGCTGCTGGAGTACAAAAGGCCACAGGGAAGTGTCTCAGATTTGCCCTAGTCCTGTCACACTCCAAGTCGCTGGAACATGTCCAAGTGCATGGTAAACTACAGGCGGTCTCTGCAGAACAGCCTGTACAGTTGACTTTAAGTGAAACGTGAATCATCTCAGTCCTAAATTATTTTAATCCAATCAGTCATCTGTGTTGAAGGGTGTAAAGAGACAGCAAAACCAAGAGAATGGCTGCCAAGTGGAGGATACAGGACACAAATAAATCTGCTAGGATGAGATGGAATATGAACTAATAATGATTTATTCCAAATGCCGCAGGGGTTACAGTGTGGAACCACTTGTAGAGATATTCAGATGCGATGAATTTTGTAGGCTTTCCCCGGGATGATTTTTATAGGCATAGCAGAGGTGAAGGAAGGCAAAGCTGTTAGCTACACAGAGAGTGCACACAAGGGTTTTGAAGTGCTCACAAACAATTTCTCCCTAATTAATATATGCTTTACAAGTCTCTTGTAAGTAGATGAGCATGAACAGCTGTAGTTCTTTTTATAGATACAAACTAATCTCTAATACATGTTGGAGTTGAAGGATACAGAGAACAACATGCTGGGGATTCGTAAAGCTCTTCTAGCCATGGAAGTATTCTTTTTATACCCTCTAAAAGTGGAAGGGAATGCAGAAGAGTGTAGAGTGCAGTCTTGAAGAGTACTGCTTGGAATAAAATCATGACTGGAGCAAAGGATCTAGCTATTAGTGACATATATCATACACTCCTTGTTAACACATCAAACAGCACACGTGAGTTAGACCTACTTTATTGACAGATTCAGTCTTTTGTGACCCATATGAAACAGGCAGCATTTGCTAATGTTTCTTCCCATCTTTCAATAGTGTCAATGGCCTTCATGACAAAGAAAGAATTACATGTTTCGTGCTTTTAAATGTTTTTTAAAAGCCTCAGCAATAAGTTATAATAGAACCCCTTAGACCTGAGGAATATCTTTGAACATGTTTCCTGTTTGAAGATATTTTCTGTCTTCTTTCTCTTATTGCTAGCTGTATATATTATCAGTTTAATATTGTCCTCTGCTGGGTGACAATATCCTGTTGTGGTAGGTGAAGGGAGAGACTGTAACAGCTCCTTTCCATCTCTGATGACTACGATTTCATTTACATAAAAACACTGTGGATTTTGGACAGTGTGTTTCTTTTGGCAGTTTATTACCAGCCTGAATGCCTCACTTTTCTTCATGATTAACATTTTGTCTGCTGCAGAAGTCATATCACATTCATTTTTAGTTTTAATAACCTTCCTTTTAATAAACCACAGTTTGACCTAAGTTTCCAGTGGTTTACTTCAAAACAATGCTCTAGACCTTCTGGAACTCACTGATTTTTCCCCTCAAAATAATAAGTTAATTACATTTTTATTGATTTTATGGCTTTTTCTGATGTGATATAGGGAAGAATTGATTTACTTAGGACAAAAAATGCCTTGCTGGGTTCCCTCCATTATTGCAACCAAAGGAAAAACTGCTGGAGGGCCTATGGGGCAGAACTGTTTCAATAGTGCTTTGTGCCCTGTTCTTTCTGGCTCAGCCCCACTTTGGACTGAGTGCTATGAATTGCAAATGAATTTTGTTCACTTCCTCTTATGCACTAGGAGAGACACTAGGGAAAAGCAGGAAGTCACTAGTGATAGAACTTTTTCCCTTTCCTTTCAGAAGAAAGAAGTACAATCTCGTGGATTTAGTCACTGCGGAAGAAAACCCTCAGCTATACAAATGCTGCTGTTTAGAGAAGGAGAAATCAAAATGCCAAAGTGGGAATGATGTGGATTGCATACATCTCTAGAACAACTATTTTTGGGGAACTAAACCTTCTCCTCCCTATATTTACTTTAGAAAAGCACATCAAAGAGTAAACTACTTTGAAGTATCAAAAAGCAGATGTATTGACTTACCCATAAGATATTTCAGTACAAACATTGCTTTGTATTCTGGATTCTTTTCATGAAACCTGCTAAAGGAAAGTCAGAAGGAATTTCATAATAATCTCTTATAGCTTTGTGGAAGTTAGCTGAGAATGGGTTAAATTCATCTCTTAAGCCACTGTTGGAAAAGAAGCTAATTATGGAAAGGACCATAGTCTTTTCCTCAAGTGTTACTCCTTTCTCTTTCCCTGTCTCAGAAATTAAAATAAAGACATGAGACTGTAAATTACTGCTAAAGTGCATTGCCTTTCATTGGATTGTAGAAGAAAATGGGGGAAAATGTGTCATTAATGAGAGAAGGGGCACTGACTGTGTAATTAAGTTTACATTTGGTTGAGAAACTTCACAATAATGAAGAAACCATCATCAGGAAGTAATAAACATTTCCCCCCAAATTTCTCAGCTTTAGTTCCGTAATAACTTTGAAGTTAATAACCAAGTGAACAAAGCCAGTTTTGAATATTATACTTCCCTCTCAGGTTAATCCTAGGAGGTTTCTAGGTAAGGTCTGTGCAGTGGTGGGAACATATGTGAGCAGAGTACAATCCAAATGAAATTTTTTTTTCTGAGCTGCATAAAGAAGAAATATTAAAATTACATTGTGTCTCAGATCAAGATCTGATCCACTGGAGAGAGTTCTGATGCTGAAAAGATCACTCCTCATATTTTTATCCTTGCTTGTCTTGTGCTGTGTCTTTGTAGGAGCATTTCAGACCAATCTAGAAAGGTATTCTGGATTCAGCCAGTCCACAGCTGTTCCAGAGCTGTTGGCTAAGGTGATATTCTTGCACCACTCACTTAACTGCTGGACTTCTTGTTCTGCTTGTGACTGCTGGATTTAGGGTACAGGAAACCAGAGTTGTATCTAGAAGGCAGCTCTGCTCCTTGGACACTGCTGCATGTTATTGTAATACTGGGTATCTTGGCTGAAGACGGTCCCTGGTGAGACTCTCCTTTTCTTTGTCCAATACTGTTCAGGCTCTCTCTTTTCTAAAGGATGCAAAGATTTACAAGAAATGGACAACACAAGCATCTACAAAGAGATCCCATTGAATGATCTATTAAAAATGACATATATTTAGCACTTTGCTACTCCCCATGGCTGACTGAAAATCAAACTTAAATGATGGAGGGAAAAGTAGATCTGAAAATTATTTTAATATTTCATGAATAACTTATGAAAAAAAACCCCCACCTGTTAAACAAGCTAATGTACTAAAGGATTAAAGACTTTGCATTTGCTACTTAATGCTGGTCTACTTTGAAGAAGGACCAGGCTAATGACAGCACATTCAACTATGAACAGAAATACTGTGAATATGCTCAGACAGCCTATGAATTCAATCAGGTAGAGAGTCTCTCTATACAGAGGAACTACTTAGGGTCATTGGGCAAGAGGTAATGTAAAATATAGTGTTAACAGCGTGGATAATTTGAAGGGGGGGAAGCAAACTACATAATGAGTTAAAAATTGAGGGAAAGATTAACTAGCATTTTTTTTTACAGTAAGCAGCATTTGCTGTCACTTGCACAGTACCAAAAAATCAGTTAGGATGAGGCTCACAATAGCTCATATGTATCATTGCTAATAATAAAGAGACAATTTAAGCTGATTGTATTACACTGGGGTTAGTGCTGCCTTGTTTTCATCTGTCAGCTCTTTGCTTTTATTTCCATGTCTGCTGAGAATTAAGGCAAGTTGATTCACTTGTGAGAGATGTCAGATATTTTTACCCATATGCTGTAGCTGTGTTAGATGAAGAAGAAACAGACACTAATACAACAAACAACATCCTAGTGAATAGGTGACATGGCATATTTCAAAAACTGACCTTGATTTCCTCCAAGCTGCATGTTTTAGATGTTTGCTGCAACCCAAAACAGAGAACATTAAATAGTTAACTACATCACTTTGTACAGCAGTTCTTGCCACAGGACTAAGGCTGTCTCAGAGGTATGAGCCATCAGAATGGCTGTCTCAGCTTAGCCTATACACCATTAATATAAAGATGGCACAGAGTTAATGCTTGCATGCTCCACAAAGGAAATCACAGACCTCATTATAGGACTTACTGAATTCAAGAAAATATTCAGATTCCTTGAAGAAGCTGAACTTCAGAAGAATCCTGTAATACCTGTGTTCAACTTCTGCTCAGTTTCAGCAGTGGTCTACCCTTTGTGATCATGTTTTCTGCATTGTTCTGGGAATATTGTGTAATTTTTGCATCTCAAAAACAACCTAATTTGTGCTCAGGGACTGGGATTGTCATTAGTTTTTGTTGCCAAATATTAAAATAGCAGTTCTTACAGTAGGTGTAGCCATGTACTCTGTGGCATTCAGTTCCACCATCAATATGTCATCAGCATCTACAGCTGTCTGAAAAATGAACACAGATAAAACAGATGTAAATGGCATAAAGGTATGTCACAATGTAAGACATATGCAAAATGCATAGTGGAAAAAAGAGGACAGCAAAGGACTGACTGAAAAGCAGTGATATATTAAAGATAGCCTTGTTTTTTACGTCTTACCATATTTGTTCATTTGCTAACAAATGGTGGGACAACCAAGATCAATCAAGTAATTTGGACAGCAAAAGACAAATATTACTAAATACACACTTAAAACCAAACACGAGACAACTCTCCATTCAGATTTAAAGTTCTCTAAAACAGCAGCAGAAATGCAATGAAGACAGCTGAATAATGAACCAGGGTGGGAATAAAAAGCTGATGACCTTTTACAGCCTGTAAGTCATTACTCATTGTGTTAACTCATAGGTTATCTGCATCTTCTTGGCAGGAACCTTCATGATTAATTATGGTACAATGTGCAGATTTTTTAACTTGTCAGTTGTTAGAGAATTTAGGTATTACACAGTCTATTACCTTCCCACAATTCCCAGAATCCTGGCTTGTCAGTTTGGCTCTTATGTCACTATTCTGAGTTGTGTCCTTATCTGTTTCGTAGGAAATTTGTCTTCTGGCAAGTCTGGAGAACATACTGGGAGTATCAGTTTCTGTTTCAGTACAGCCCTAAAATTAATACAGCAAAAACATTCACTCTAGGTCCTTTAGACTTTCATCCAGTTTGCCCCAGACAAACCTAGACAGAAATCATAAAAGAGACAGGCATTGTATAAAAGACATTTCACAAAAATTCTGCCATATATAATTTCATAAAATGTCTGCTTATAGGAAGTACAAATAAAACTATCAACTCTTTTGCATCTAAAATTCAGCTTACTTTTTTTTTCCTCCACAGGGTGCACTGCAAAATTTGAAAGAAAATAGTGTTTTGTTACAATCTATTGTTGAAACTTCTCTCATGCATCTTGTAGCTCCAAGGAGACAGTGTTGCCACAGTACTGCCCACTTAGGAAGCACAGGTGTTTGGAGGAATTAGGGCCAAAGTTTCCAAAGTGGCTTGAGTAGAAGCAGAAACAAATAGAAGGAGATGTCTCAGGACTGCAGAATCAGTGCTTTATACATATTTTTTTCAGTAAGGAGTCCTGGGTTTATAAACTTTGTTCCAATTAATGGGAAAACAAAGCCATGTTACTGAGGGACTCTGTTGTTTTTTTAACAATCAAGATTTGCAGTGTAAGCGATGCAATATAAAGATGTTCCTTTTCTATTAGCCTGTTTTAAAACCATCCACCTGACTGGAGGCTACCAGCCAGAAATATTTCATTTTGATTGGGCTGAGAAGTCAAAAGAACAGAGAGGGCAAAGAAATTGAAATGTCACTGTTAAAAACAACTGTCAGAATTCAGCGCTTGGCTAGACTAGATACAATTATTATCCTGACTGTGAAAAAGAACTGCCAAGAAATTTTTTTCTTTTCAGTTATTTGGAAGTCTAGTTTGAAATTACTGCAATGAACAAACTAATATGCCTATTTAGCTAGCAATATAACTTTGAGTTACAGAGGGGAGCCTGGATGCCAAATACTTGCCCTGTTTTCAGCTGCTGTGTAAAACATTTGTTTCCACTTAGATTGGCAGCAGCAAGCTGTTGAGGTCTTCTGTGAGAAAGAGTCTGTAATGGATTTACTGATTTGTCTAAATCTGATGATTAATATGCTTCCAAATACATCTCATTTTCAGAAAGCATTATCTATTTCATTACAACCTTGCTTTCACTAGAGAACTATTTTCTGACTAGCAGTTTCTTTTTTCTGCATCCAGACTGCAGATCTGTGGTGAGACAAACACAACTTGTAAGTATGATCAGACTTTCAACTAAGCTCTATGCTGCCTTTATTATTACTTACAGGTAAGACTTTATAAAGCCTTACCTGTCAGTAACACTTTGCTTTCTAAAATTCCTGTTGTTCCATCTTTCCACTCTCCTGCAGTGTCACCAACCATCAACAAGAAAATTATCTACATTCTGCTTTTACACTTAGCCTTCTGTCTTTAATTTTGCTTTGTCCCTCCACTTTCTCAGAGTTTTTATAACAAGCACCATAATTCATTTCATCTAAAGAATTTACCACTTGGAAGGACTCTATATGAAGATGGGTGTATGGGAAGGGTCTCCCTTACTGATTCACTGTCAGAGAGAGAAGACAGCCTCCTTTTTCCTTTCTGCAGCCCACTTGTCTCAGAAGACTGGCTGGTTACGGTTGCTCGTCTGGAGGAGTGGTAACTGCTGGAGGACCGTGAGTCTTTAGGAGAAGCTCTCAGTAAGGGTCCAAGGCAAGGAACATATGTTGCAATGGCTCTTCTAATGGATAAAAGGTAGAATCAGTCAGATTTTTTTTCTGTCAGCAAAAAAATTCAATCATCATAAACAATGCATTTATTCAGAGAGATGAACTAATGCTGCATAGACTGGAAAATTACTGGGTACAAAAAGAGTTTTCCAGATATCAGATATCTCATGTAGAATCACCCTGCAAGATCACTTATTCACAGTGTTCTGCAGAACTCAAATTTATTGCTTGGCAGGGATAAGGGCATTAAAATATAACTTTGGAACTGAGGGGAGCTATTAAAACAATGTTTTATCTGCTTTCAGCTTAATCAGGGCAAAAATAAAATTGTGTCCCTTTAAACTGAACCTCGCAGAAGTACTACATAATGAATTATTTTAATCTTCCCCTAAGCAGCTATTCTAGCTCCTCTTACACATCTGTTTGCTGGCTATCTGTAGAGTTGTACAGAATGTGCATTTATATTACTGTATTACTTTGCTCATATGAAGTTTGGAAAACTCTGGCCTAGCTTTCCTGTTCCTTGCCCAAAAAGATGTTCCTGCCCACTCTGTTCAGGTCTCTGTTCAGGTCCTCAGTAGGTCTTTGTAGGTGGTGAAACCACAGCCTGTCTGTGGCATTGCTGCCATCTGTCAAATCTCACTGCCTGCATCTGAACTTGGAGTGACAATGACCCTTCGTTTTACCTGTCAGAGGAAATACTACCTGAAATATGAAAGCCTTGAGAAATATGAGGAGGATTCACAAAACAGGGAAGAGGTGGTTTGGCTCATTGTGTTGCCTCTCTCACTGGCCTGGTCAATGTAACAAAGTGCTATTTGCAGCTCTTCCCCATGTCTGCCTCTCATGAAGACAGTTAAAAATGTGTGGTGCTTTCCTTTGAGATGGAAAGGTTTCCATCTTTTATCATGCAAAGGTAAATACAGATCAGTATCCATAAACATCTCTAGCTACCATCTGCTCAGGAGTTTGTTCCAAGTGCAAATTCCACTGACATTTCTATGGCATTGAGGAGTGTTCCTGGGGAGGGCAAGGCTGTCCTACAGAGTTAAAATGAGCAGGTGAAGGAGAGTTCAGGTACTAGACCTAAAAGTGACAAATTTACTCTCACATTTTCTTTGCTATATTAAACATAGCTTGTAAGAGTGAACTTACCTGTATTTGGGGTGAGTGATGGCATAAATGATGGGGTTATGGATGACAGAAGCTTTGGCAATCACAGCTGGTATGGAGTTCATGAAGGGTGTTAGGACGTGGGAATACCTAGAGTAATGCAAACACATCATATATTTACTACTGAGTTCTGCATTGTCTATGCAGTTATAGTGGCAAGACAGGCTTTAAGCCTCCAAAGAGAGTTAAAGAAGAGTTCTGTACCAAAACAGTGAGAGAACAAATTCTACATCATTTGCCTGTAAAGATCAACATCAGTCTAATTGGATTTCTGAGAAATATGATTTTCTTGGGGCTTTGCTGGCAGTACTCCACTATTATGACTCAGGATTGGGGTAATTCCCATGTTGTTTAACCTAGGGACAATGTCAGCCTTTTAAAAGGCCTTACCATCCTGGTGAGGAAGTTTCTCATCATACTATGGGAATATATATGCTCTGTGATGAGGTGGAAATGGTTTGCCAATTGCAGTATTAGAACCATTTTGTCAGCTGCCTGTTGAGATGCCATTTCACCTCCTAAGGCTTTTCCCTGATAAAGATAAGGATGTTCTCTATGTGCAATATTTAACATGGTTTCTCCTGATCATTCTTTAAACATTGATTAGAGGTATAAATCTTCACATATTCTGGATAACACACAGTGTGACCTTACTGGAAAGGAGATTTTGACCCTGAGCTGAGACAATTCTTTGGTAAGGCTGATGGAGACTGCAGCTAACAGAAACAAATAGTGGCAAAGCCTTCTGTTTAAGCTAATAATTCCTGTGTTTAAACTAATAATTCCCAGAAAATGCAACCTGTAGACCAAAAATATTAGTGAGCATGACTGTGTGCTAGCTCACTATTCCGCATTCAAAATATTTTCTAAAGGAATTAAGGTTCTTCCTTCCTTTTTCATATGTTGTTGCTCTGTCAGATGAATTGTCTTTAGTCCAAGACTATAGCCTCAGACTCCATGTCTGCCTCCCATATGTAGCATGCTGAAAGATTTTATCTGAGTCCCTTGCAATAAAATTTCACAGAAGACATCCAGGTTTGCTTATTAACCTGAAAAATCCCAGTAGGATTGCCTAAAAGACACAGCACAGAAATGGAAAAAATCTGTGTGAAGCTATGTTGCTCCCAAGCTACCTTTATAAGGAAACTTCAAAAGTGCTAATTTCTAACATACTGCAGAATTAGAGAATTGTTCATTTGTTCAGATTTTTGAGAGTGTGAGACATGGAGCAGAAGTCAAGTTCAGCAGGTATTTGATCCTCCTAAGGCAGATGCTGAATTGTATGCAACAGCGCAACAGTTCTACATAGGGGTTTGCTGTAACACAAAAAATGAATATACTTTTGTAGATTAAAGAAGTAGAGGGGGGAAAAAAAGAGAATCAGCCCCTGGGAGGATCTTTTTGAAGGGCTTTACTTAGCATTTTGGTGCTAAATAAAGTTCAGATAGTTCAAATATCCCAGCATAGAGAATGCATTCAGAAATCTTCAGCATGGCAGTTTGTTCCTAGTGATAATAATCTTGTTTTCTTTCTCTTTTTCTTAAATTTTCTTAAAGTCAAACTAAGAAAAAAAATCAGTCAACATGTGCCCCCCCCATTGGTTAAATATCACTCCTAAATATTTGAATGTTTTGGACATGCTTCAGAGGTGAAAAGTGACATGTAGTTTTGACTTTCATCTGTCTTTTACAGTTTGCTTTCATGGAATATTGCTTTGCTGATACATTTATAATTACCCAGCAAAAGCTACCAGAGCAACAACAGAGTATGGTGACCAGGAAATGACAAAAAACAAGATGACGATCAGTGCAATTTTGGCCATCTTCCACTCATTTTTCATCCTCTGATACTGTTTCTGGAACTCTCTATTTCCACGTTTGCATCCAAATGTCTGAATAGACCTAGGGAAAATAAACATACAACAGCAAAGGTAGGGAAGTGAGCAAATACTTCAGGAAGTGGGACAACAACTACTCTTCTGCTACTTTAGGCTAAAACTCATGCACTTTTATTGCACATGAATGCAAGTACATGACCCATGCTTCCCAATGTGATGCACTTCAGTTGCACTCATCAATGGCAAAAGCCACATGTGCTTCAATGAAAAAAAAAATAGCAGAGAAGTACCAAAAGACTTTCCACGTAAAGCAGCTATTCAAGCCAATTGAATGATGCTGAGTTAAAGACACTTAGAGGAGTCTTTGCTTCCCTGGGTCTGTTTTGCTACCTTGCTGTCACTTTGAACTTCTGAGCTAAGTGACTAGATCTACTGGGATCTACAGGACTGGTACCCACAGATCACACATGGAGTGTCAGGCTGCCCTTTACATTTAAAGCAATAGCTTTTTGTTTCAGAGTCCTGCTATTAAATCTTTAATCTCATTTTTTAATTGAAATTTATAATTCAATTCCATATATTTTTCTGTGAATTAGTTATTGATGCATGGTCATTAGTTGTTTCTGAGGTCCCTTTTTTTTTATTCTGGTTGGTTAATTTCTGTACCCTTTTCCATGCCATTAGATAATAGACTGATAAGCTCAGGCCTCAATTCAGGAATAGCCCTTCTAAGAACCATGTCTTACCCTGTTGACTATTAACAGAATTCTTGTTTGGTTTTCTGTTTCAGTTGTGCTTACAAAATAAATGTGAGGAACTAGTCCAAATTTTCTTCTGTTCTTTTTTTCTTTGTTTTAAAAAAACAAACAGTCACTTAAGCACAATGATAAAAATTTAGGGCTGTTGGCTACTTACTTGTTGGCCTTCTTGATAGCCTCAAAGATAGAGACATAGCTGTATATGATAGCAATCAAAGGAATGAAAAAGACAAAGCAGAAAAGCAGCATCGTGTAGGCACGGACTGATGGTGTGAAAGTCATGTAGTCCCAGGAGCAGGAAGTCAGCAAACCCTCAGGAACATATGCACCTAGAAAGGAAGACAGGAAAAGTTATAAACCGTGAAGTGAATGTTATTCTGAGTGCAGAAGCTGGAGAAGATACTCAGAATAACATGGTATTTAGTCCTAGTCTCTGAAAGGGAAAAAAGGGTTTAAAAGGATGAACAATTCTTCATGTAAAGAACTTTTATATTTTCTTTTATTTTCTTTCCCTATTGTATTTATGCTTAGCCATCTAAGGCTTCAGAAAACTGAGTAATTTTGCTTCAGTCTTGAATATTGTTTAAAACTCATCATAGTCAAATGGAATCTCTTCAGATACTTATTTTGGCCTGAGACCAGACCTATATTGTTTTTAAATATCTCCATTTCCTGTCAAAGTGCTTTCTTTCTAAGGAATCAAACCAATTGCTCTAGGTATCACTTTTCTAAGCATGTGCAGATATGAGAAATTTACTGGGCAAAAGAGAAAGATGTATTGTGTAGACCAAATAATTTTGTCATGAAGTAAAGCTGAGGAGAAGTAAAAAAAAAAAAAAACCCACTAAAAAACCCCAAACAAACAAACAAGACTCCCAAAAACAAAAAAAAAAAAACCCACCCAAAACCATACCTAATGTTTTGCCTGAAATAAAATGTATTATCTTTAAAGGAACTGTTTCAAACTGTTAAGTAAATAAATTGGCAAAAGCAATGTTTTTTTACATTGGAATTTTAATTTTAACTGTTTACGCTGATATTTTTCTGTTCCACTCATAAAAATATTGCACCAGATGTTCTCAAATGCATCTAATTACAGTGTGAGAGTTCATACTGTGGGCACTATTACAATCTAATTACAAGATAATAACACCCTTCCAGCAATTATTCCACCTTCTTCAACTGAAAGTCTATAATCTAAGGCTATATTGTCATTTTGTTATTCTAACAGCTTCTCACTCAACTAAAGACTGCTTCTGTCAGTATTGCAGTTTGCCTGCTTAAGCATGCTTCATGTTTAGGGGGATCAGAATGGCAATAATTTGACAATAACAAAACTCTGCTGAAATTCTGCTCAGTACCTGAGTTGGTTGTTGCATCCTTTACTAGTCAAACATGTCTATGTTCTCACCTCAGTTGGCAGACACATTCTGGAATTAAGGAGCATAATGGTAGGTTGAGGTTTTGAATGATGAGTTCATTCTAACTTAGTGACTGCAACTGGTGACTCAGGAAATAAACTAAATAGTAGTGAGGCAGATTGCAGTGAGGAAGAATAACAGAAACTTGCTTTGTCACAAATTGCAATTTTGTGCTGTATGAATGTTCCAAATCAAGGTGCTGTATGAATGTTCCAATTCCTATGTGAAACATTCACATTTACAAAAGCATTTTAGCTACTACTAAATGCCATGCTTATTGGAAGCCAGTGACAACACCAATGAGTGAATGGAGAATGTGGGCAACACCAAGAGCAATTTGTCCATCCAGAACACAGTCAAGATTTACTGAAAATCTCCTGGCACAAATGCTCAGACTCTTGTGTGGATGAAAAGAATTAGATTGACACTGCTGTCTTAGCACTGTTGGGGAGGAAAACTCATCAGAAATAATACAAATATATTTATTTAACTTAAATATTGTTAAATTTGATTCAATGGAAGTAGACGTGGGATAACGAGCAGGCACATTCCTCATAAATTTTGGGCATGAATTTATCTGCTGTCCTTTATGGAGCAAGTAATGTGCTTAAGGAAAAGTGCCACTGTCATATAATATACTGTAATGCCCACTGCATTCTTTTCTTTTGATTAGAGACCTTCAGTTTCAACATGTATTTCATCTCTTTTTTTTCAAATTGGTCTACTCAAGCCTCATATGAGAGTTATTAATTCAACCCTCTTCTAAACCTTTAACTGGTCTTTAATCCAAGACTATGAGGACAAAAAAAGTTTTATTCCAATTCACTTACTCCATCCAAAGAAGGGTGGGAGACTCCAAGCCAAAGAGTACAGCCAGACTCCTACCAGGATTATTAGGGCCTTCTTCTTTGACGTCACTCCAACAGAAGCCAGAGGTTTAGTGATGACAAAATATCTGTCCAAGGCAATCACCATCAAAGTGATCATAGATGTAATGCCAAAAAGAGCTCCGCAGAAGGCATACAGCTCACAGCCTTGCAATGAAGATGACAGAAGTAGCAGTGAAATTAATCTACCCATGCTAATTATTTCTAGGAGAGTTCAAGTCTGTGTTTCTTATGAACTAATGTCTTCTGGAATTTGTAAAGCAGTGAAAGTTGAGTTTTCCTGCAGTTATAATGCTACTTCAAAGCTGCTGTCTGTCTTGCTAATTATATTATCCATGGAGATAAACTTCACAGATTTTGTTTGCTTCAATTGCTGGAGACAGTGATACTTAACATATTTTCACTCATTGATTTCTGGTGTTTCTAGTGGGATAATTTCAGCAGTCCATTAATATCTCATTTAACTCCAGTTTTACTGCAGGTCCCATAGAGCAGCTGTTTTGCTTCACAATGGGACATAGTTACTTTGGTACTGTTCATATCTCAAGGGCAGCAAAGCTGAAGTAAATATGAATACATTAATGAGTAATTTAGCTGAAGTAAATATTCAGACTATGAATACATGAATGAGTGATTTTAATTGTTCAAACAACCTAATGATTAAAAGCAGTGGTTTGGATTAGTTTTAGCTTGTATGCAAATGAGCACTTAATGGAAATAAAATAAAAATATGCTTTTGGTCATGAGAGATCAAAATAGCAATTTTACTTCTGTGAGTTTCCTTTCTGTCAGTACCTGTTCAAAGGGCAAAGACTAGTCTTACAACAGTTATATTGGAAGAATGAAAGCACCCTCATTCCATATTTTCTTACTACACAGAAAGCGTAAAATATCTGTTGTGAAAAATCAGATTTTCCAGGCTTTCTTGCCTCAGCATGCCAGGTGCAAGTCCCAGAGCAGGTTATTTAAAAGGGCTTTTAAGCTGGTGTGCTGAGGGGGAGTGCTTCTTTGTCAGAGGACTCTGACAGTAACTAAGTCATGAGGTGACTGGGGAAGAGCGCTGGCAAGAAGATTAGTGCTGTGCCTCATGTTGCCAAGTGATGCCTTTGCATCTGTCTCATTAATGTAATTTTCCTCTCATGATAGCAGTGTATTTATTACACACAGACACAAGTATTCAAAGAAATGTTTGTGTCAACACTAAAACAATGTTGGGAAATGTTCTCAATATTGCAAGAGTACCTGAGGGTAGACAGATGAACTGCCACTATGGTAAGAACAAACATATTGAAATTTTAGAAAGAATATATACAAACCTTTCTCACCAAAAATCCAGTGTTTGTAGAGGCTGCTGGTGAAAAAAACTGGAGACTGTGTAATGGACATCAGGAAGTCACTAATAGCTAGATTGATGATGAGTATGTTGGCTGGAGTCTGAAGGCTCCTACTCCTACAGAGATCAGAAGAAATGTTGCTAAACACTGCTGCACTGTTAATTATGCTGTTACTCCTTCCTGTGAGCTCACAAATCTCAAGCAACACTCCATGGTAAGCTAAAGCAGAGTGCTTCTTGTTTCCCTCATGAGGGAACACAAGCAAGGCCCAGATTTACATCCTTATGCTCCTGTGCATTTTACAGGATTGCTTTGATAACCAGCTCAGTGATGGGGATAAATCACACTGTTCTTTCAATATTCTAGCCATGTCCTGCATGTCCATGATTAGCAGGAAGTTGGAGTTGGTGTACAATATGGATGTCTGGATCTGGGCTGTGTTAAGCAGGAGAAGGGGCATGCATTTTCCACTGCTGGTAAGATCAACAGTGGCTTCCTAATACAGGGATTAAGCAAACTCACTATGAACCACATCAAGCCCTTTACTTTACATCAGTTCTTGTCTGTGACACTCATTTCACTTGCCCAGACTCTGTCTTTAAAGGAGCAATAAGCAGCCTTCAGTGTGTTCTGCCTGCTTTTGTTATTCATAATATTAAAGTACTATGCTTTAAAAGGTGCACATAAAAACTCAAGAAGAGCTCTTCACTTTGGGGCTCAGTGTAACTACTTAGCTCCTTTTTCAATTTCAGTCTTAGGCACAATAGAAAAATAAACTATGTTTTTTTGCACTGGTCCAGAATCAATCACTAGGACCACCATCCCCTTTCTGTCAATTTAGGAGCAAGGAGGTATTATTAGTAGGTGCTTATGGGTTGTGTGTATTTGTTTGTAATCTGCAAAGTCACTGAACACATTTCTGTTTCAGGCAGCTGGTCTCTTGAGTTTGTCATTACCTGAGGCTGCTTTGTAAGCACCTAAATGTTTTCTGAATTTTTGATGTACTCATTACCTAGCTATCAGTACCCCTCTCTGTCTTGACATCACCTTCAAATGAAGACAAGCTGTGTCCTGAAGTGGAAGTGCCATAACTGGATTTCCTGTATGGGACCAGCCAAAGAGCTAAGCTGGCTCATGTAGTTCATCCTCACACATCTGATCTGCATGCCAACACCTTTTCTTAAGGCCACTGCCATGCACACTTAAGTATGCCATTCTACTCTGAATGAATGTGCTGAAACCTACTTGCAATAAATACAGGCTTGAGACCAAGACAGCTTCCATCTACACTCCAGTGATCTAAGTTAACACAGCCAAATGACCCTATAATTCATTGCTGTTATTTTGGTTTATTACATTTGTGCCTAAAGACCAATCACATAGAAGTGCTCCAGTGTGGTAAATCAGACACAGAATGAGGGGTGAACAGGAATGGTGAGCATATGACATTGTTGTCAGAGATCAAATTTCCCACAGACAGAAAATTTGGAATGTGGCTTTAGTTAAAAGGAAACAAGCCAAATGTTGGAAAATGTGAAAAAAAAATGAGACATGGCCACTAATGAATGGGGGGGGGGGGGGGGGGGGGGAGAAAGAAATGGATTAATAAGAAACAGGAGGAAAGAAACATCTAAAATAGAACAGATTTGTGAGGCACAGAGGTACAAACCAGTTCATCAGTTCAATGCAGACGCAGTTAGCCAGTAGAAAAAAATTCACTGTAACATTTCTGCTTTGGCTGCATTTCTATAGCTTGGAATATGTGGGTGGTTTTTTGCAATCTTGCTAACAATTTTGCTATGGCTGTGGTTAATGGGAAGTCAGAGGGAAACAGCAAGTTGCCACTCTTTTCCTACAGCATTGTCTCTTGTGCATTTTACGCTGCCAGTGAAGAAGTCTGACAATATTCCTGGACTGTGTTTGCAGCACACAAGATACAGCTCAAGTTCATACATTTGAATATTTAAAAAGACATTCAAAAGAAAATTACCTGCAGAAAGCATAGAAGACCAGGAAATTACCCAGAGTTCCTGTAATCCCCACTATAAGGATGACAACTCCAATTGTATAATGGGCATGATCTGGGACATCCACTGTGGGAAAGGCACGAGGAACATCTTGCACTGTCATCTTCTGTGGAGCAAATAAGAGGTCATAGGTATATTGACAAACTTTTCTGAACAAGCTGGCATGTGCTTCTCTAGAAGGGAAAATGGTCAAGAATGCAAAAAGGCAACAAGCAAAAAAAAGTCAGAATAAATTCAAATCCCATCTACTGTTGAATATCTTTGGGGCATAAATATACCATCAGCGCTGCAAAGGGCAAAGGTTGTATACTTACTGTCTATTTAGAATTTTGGTGAAGAAAAGCGACATATTCTCTCCCAAAAGAAAAATAAGGATATGAAGGAGAAAAAGAGACAGGAAGGGGCCTCTTTTTGCATCTGATATCAGGTAATGCAGTATTTAACAAGAAGTAAGCTTCCTATAGATTTAATTTCAGGAAAGTTTCTGTGAAGTACAATTTCAGTTGTCCTCTGATCACGGACTAGACTTCTCCAACTAAGTAGAACTGTTCTATGGATAAATAGGCATTTACTCCTTTAGCAGTATGGTCACTTCATTTTTCCCACTGAATAACAGTGCAATTTGAGCTGCCCTCAAGAGCTGATTACCAAAAGCCTGGCAGCTTGAACAAGAGTCTTTTGGAAACTAAATCAAGGATCAGAAAAACTAAACCACAAATCCTTTCTACCTTATGCCTGGTTTCCACACCAGTTTTGCTTTTGGTCTGCTGAGATCAAGGTATTTTGCTCTCTGGGAAGTATTTCATAAACCACTTGATTGAAACATTTGTGTCTTAATCAGTTAATAACTCACAGCAGAATTCAGCAGCCAAGTCTGAAGATTTCAGTATTGGAAATGGGTATTTTTGGGCAATAGAGGTGGGCATTACTTTTGAATTCATCTGTGAGGTCAGCCTGAGGTTCTTACAGGGAGTGTGGATTTAAAACCAATGTGCCAGTAGCAAGAGGTGAACCCCAGGAGTGCCTGGAATTTTGGATGAGATTGCTTTGTGTGCTGAAGATCTGCCCACAGCAATCCTCAACCACCAAGGCAACTCCCTGGGTTTCTACATTAGCAGCAATGAAATGCTGGACAAATACTCTGATCTTAGAGAAAGGAAATGTAGTTCTGGCTGTTACTGTAATTGGAGCAAAATGTTAAGTTTGATACCCTAACTGAATGACAGTGTCACAGCATTTATGGTTCAGGTTGCTGCAGCAAAGTGGAAGTTGGCATAACATCATTAACATCAATGGGCATTTTGCCCAGCTAGAAATTGCTGTGCTCAACATGCTGCCAGTAAACTAACAAACAAAAATAATCCCATACTAATAGCAAGTGGATAGGGGGAGTCCGAGATAAAACTCTTTCAAGTAAATAAGAACAGGTGTTCTTTGGTTTGGGTTGGTTTTATTAGTCTTGTGGCTAGAACATTTTTAAACAGCTGTTCTGCAGAATGTTAATTATGATTATTAGTGCAATGGAGATTTCTGAATGGAGATTTTTCATGCTTTTTTCCCTGTAGCTATCCATTTAATCAGAACTAGATCAATGTAATAGAAATGAAGCAACTAAAGGAGCTTGTTTTGGCTACGAAGAATAGATTAAAGTGGCTTTAATGTGAATTAAATTTGTGGGGCACTAAGGACAAGGAAAAATTTGAAAGATAAATATAAATCACAGAGAAATCGTAAGAGAGGCAAAATTAGTTAAGGGAAAATAGAAGACTTTAAAATCACTTATTCATTAATGAATCAAGTTCAGAGTCAATACAAGTGTCAAGTCTGAGAAAAAATAAAAGAATAATATTTATACTGGAGCAGTGCTAGGGCATAAATTATAAAACTACATATATGATCAGGAAAAGGTGTGTGGCAAAAGGAATAAAATCACATTTTAGTGTGGACTTCATGAAGGCCTTGGATTTTTACCAGAGGATACAACTCTGCTGTTCTCTAAGAGATAAAAATCAATAATTTAAAAAAAAAAGTATTTTCACTGGAAATACAATTATTATTTTTTTACATCAAAGAAAGGTACTAGTTGATCAAGAAGGCATTAGATCAGGCCTAAGCACTTCAAATCCATCACTAAGTTGCATACATAGACACAGCTTCCATAGCAGAGGACAAAAAGATGTGCCTATATCGAGTTCAGCCCTGTGTCTTCTGCAGGAATCAAAAGAAAGAACAGGGAGAAAAAGGCAGTGCTTGAGAAAATCAGGTCAGCAGGATAATCAAGAAATCAGATAATTCCCAAAGCCTTTCTCTATTTAGTTTCTCCAGTGCACTAGCCCTGTTTATTCTGTCTTCTATTATCATCACACAGTACAAGTACTTGGTTGTCAGGGGAGAATAAAAATTCCCCCTGTTGCAATCCATATTGTAGCACTTGTCCTTTGAGAATACTCTGAACAGCTACCTCAGTTGCAGTGACAACACACAGCACTGTTACCTTGCATGTTTTCTGTTCAGCCTTCTTTCTATAAACACCTCATAATGAAGGTATTTGGACTGGGACTGGCACTATTTAACATTTTGTTGGCAATATGGACAGTGGGATTGAGGGCACTCTCAGCAGCTTTGCTGATGACTCCCAGCTGTGTGGTGCAGTCAGCATGCTGGAGGGCAGAGATTCCATCCTGGAGAGGGACCTGGACAGGCTTGGGAGGTCACACCATGCAGAACTCATGACCTTCAACAAGGCCATGTGCAAGGTCCTCCGTGTGGGTCAGGACAATCCCAAGCACAAATACAGGCTGGTGAAAAAGGGATGGGGAGCAGCCCTGGGGAGAGGGTCTTGGAGTATTCATAGGATCACAGAATGGTTTAGGTCAGAAGGGACCTTAAAGATCCTTTAGTTCCAACACCCCTGCCATGGGCAGGGACACCTTCCACTCTCACAGGTCACTCGGAGCCCCATCCAGCCTGGCCTTGAACACTCCTGGGGATGGGGCATCCACAGCTTCTCTGGGCAATGTGTTCCAGAGCCTCACATCCTCACAGTAAGGAATTTCTTCCTGATATCTAGTCTAAACCTACACTCTTTCAGTTTGAGCACATTACCCCCTTGTTCTACCACTATGTCCTTGTAAAATTTCCCCACTGAAATCTCTTGTAGTCCCTTCAGGTACTGGAAGGCTATTCTAAGGTCTCCTCAAAGCTATCTCTTCCCCAGGCTCAACAAAGCTATCTCAACTTTTAGTCAAGATTAAAAGCAGGTTTTATAACTTTGTTTGGGTGTGTATGAAAACAGGCTTTTTGCTAGAGCTGTGTAAGAATTCATGTCATGAAATCATGTCATCTCTGAAGGCATATAATTTATTATTTATATACACTATAGTTTTGCAGAATCAATTTGAGAAGTGCAACACTGGTTCAAACAAGTATCCCTGACAAAACACCAGCCTGCCTTTAGCCAGGGCTGGGCATTTCGTAGATACCAAACATGCATAATAAACAGTGATGTGGGAATTGAATTTTTAGAGGAGTCTTAATAATTGCTTGTACCCTAAAACAGTGTTATTGTCCATTGGAAAGGAAAATCTTAGTCTTCCATAAATTTTAATCCTCCATATATAGTTGTAATCCTTTGCTAAATCCTACTCTGTCATTTGCCTCAATAGATGCAGAGTCAAGCTGTGGAGTTGCTCTGTGTCAGTGTGTTTCTTTCTGGCAGGTTTAAGTGTGTCCTTGTGGAAGCACTAGATGGAAGCAGCTAGGTTTAATGAAGTTTGCCTTCTTAAAGTGCTCACTGTTTTCTCTAAAGGAATATTTGTCTACCACCTCCAACAAAACAGAATTGTACTTTCAGTTGCCTTGCAGTAAACTTGCCTGAGACTTACAAACTTGAGATGCTTTCTAGGAGTTCGGAGAAAAGCAAATGTTTTATAGATAAGTATGTCTAAATCCTTGCTGCAGCACAATATGGAGCCTCATTATTCTATATTTATCACCTGCTGCCACAGCTGCTTGCAAAGGAGGCAGAATTCTTCCTTGAGGGACAATCTGAGGAACCAGCTTGCTTCTTTAGGAAGAGACAGACTAAGGCTTGGTGCAAGCAGAGAAGGAGTAAAAATTAATCAGCCATAGGGCAGATTCATTAAGGCACACAGGGCAGAATTTGTATTTCACTATAAAGTTTGTCAAGACATTCCAAGACACTCATCTGAGGACAGTTGAAAGGATGAAAGAACTCCTTTGCAATCCAAACCAAAACCAGGATTCCTAAGTGATTTGTCCAGGTTACAAGGAAGGCTAGATCAGATATTAAACCCAGGAATATTTGATGCCTGTATCTATTTTGTCTTGGGAATCCATTTATCATACAGTTGCCTAAAGAGAATGTTTCCCAAATAGTTATTTCATAATTGATTAAATCAGAAACCCAAATGAACCAAACCAGTTAACTTCTGAATAGCTTCTAGTTGAAGACACCGTTTTTGAAAGTCCAACATATATCCCCATAGCAGAAGAAAAGTATTTCTGTATAAGTAATAAAAGGACAATATTCCAAGAACAGAATTCAACTATTACTGAGAAAAAACATCTGTTCTTTTTCAGAGTGAGGAAATAAAATCATATCATTTAAATGCGTTCACTTGGAGATGTTTATTTCTGAAGTCCTACTAAAACTAACAGTCATGATGGCAGGAGCAAGGCCATGACAGCAAATACTCATGGTAAATAAAATCTGATATAGCCCACTCCTCACAGATGCACAATGGCAAGAGTATAAGATCAGGTTTAGTTATAACTACAGGGAAAAAAAGAAGTCCTCATAAGGTCATTTGGACATTTGAAGATATTTCAGTTTCTGATTGATTCATTTGTATGACATCAGTTCTACAGCCAGGAGTAGAAAAAACTATGTCAGACATTTTTTTCAGCTACTTCTGCCTGAATATGGCAGAAGGATTGCATCTAATTTGGTGTAAAACAAGACAACAAAAGGGGGAAGAAAATAGGAGTGTTATGTGGTTGCTTTTATGAATTCATCTAACTTCAAATTGTAGGCACTGGTTTTGCAGGAAGAATGTTACAATAGAAGAGAGCCCAGTTCCAAAACAGTGCAAGTTTTGGCAGTCCAAAGTGAACTTTGGCAATGTAACAAATTTCTTTGTTCCTAATTTTCCTCCAAGTGCAGGTAAGGAAGCCACTCATTTACACAGTGTGACTTACACAATCAATGATAGCGTTAGGCCTTTTACAGTACAACAAATTACATAATTTAGCAAAACCATCTGACCAGAAACACTGTAATTTCCTGGGGTTCATCATGTAGTGTTTGTACTGGCTACCTACAAGAGGCCTCAAACAACTGATAGCACTTATTTTCCTTTCCAGGTCCTTTCTGTGATTTCTGAGCTTGCCTCTGTGGGCACTTGCCCTGTGATGACAGGCAGCACAGAGAGGAGTGTAATCCCCCTCAATTATGGTTTCAGCAGGGTGACGCTAACTGCTAAGCCCTCTTTCCAGTAGACAGCAGGGCTTTCCATAGATGATGCTTGCCCCGTTGAGCAATTTGGATAGCAGATTTTGTATCCTGCCTTCCGGATTTAATCTCAGCCACAAGCAGCACACTCTGCTTTCACTCCTGAAACTCTCTTAAGCCAGTCTTTGTGTCAAGTTAAAATGCAAAATTTTGGTGATACAGACACTTGACCTAGGGAAAGGGACAGCTAATGAGATTGTTCAGCAGAACATGGAAAAAATCAATTTTTAATTTTCCATTGTAAATCACTGTGTCCCCAGAATCCCTTCCCATTTTGCCATGCACTCTACAGTCCGTTTTCTCCCTCCCTGCTATGTTCTGCTATCCTTTTTCACATGTTATCCATCTCATTTAGTTTTCCAAGTGCCTTGGCTCAGGACACTTCCTTGTTTATTTTTCTGTAATATACTGTAGATATCCAGGTTTTATTAAAAAATGGATTTTAAAAACTTGAAAAATTAGGTTGGTTTGTGTTGTCATTATAAAATTTTAAACAGACTTTAGCAAAAACAGCACATGAACAGAACCTGTAGTCCTACTAATATTCTAAGAGACAAAGCCAGGAAGAGGACTTCTGAACTCCTTTGGTTCAGGCATGTGGGGTGGGACGGAGAAAATTTTTAGCAACCCCAAAAAATTCCATCCTGAAGTGTCATCACAACAGATTCTCACTTTCACACTTGCAAGGAAAATGCCTTTCTCTTTAGTATATAAAAACTCAGAAAGAGCTTTGATAGGACTTACCTGAGAAAACCTTCCAAAAAACTTTCTTGGGTAACTGCACATAACTCTTTTAACATTTACATAAGCACTCCACTGCACTTACAGATTATTACAGAAATGATGGGGATTTCCGCCCTGAATAACAACACAAGAGAGCATTGTGTTTGAACTGCTAAACAGCACTTTAACATACAAGAACATCTTGTTTTGATAGTTTGCAACATATTTGATGCACTTTGCCATTAGACATTTCCTGCCTGTCTCCTGCCCACACAACTCTGCTGAAAAACACTGCTTGTGCAGCCCTTTCTACATTAAATAAATAAAGGGAAAAAAAAAGTTTTACAAGGTTTTGTTATGTCATTATTGCATTACAGCATAAAACATATACATGCTCCCTAACTGTCCATTTACAGTCCTATAAATGCCAGCCTTAGCAGAGATCTACATGCCACAGCTTTGAGTGACAGAAAACACTTACTGTTGGGGCTCTAGGAAGCAGATCCATCCGTGTGTAGGCATTGGCTTCTGAGTCATTCCATGCACTGAGGGACTCCACAGTTCTGGTGCTCTTGGTGTCCTCGGAGGGAAAACAGATCCCCTTCTGAATGGGCTGATTATTCAGGTGAACAAAATCTAAGCAAAAACCAAGAAAGAAGAGCTGTCCTCTGAATTTAAGTCAGCCACTTTACCTTTCATGTGTGTGAAGCAGGTTATTGGATTCTTTGGAATGGTGTGAGATCCAGTGCAGAGTTTCTCACTAGAGCTTCAGATTGCTTCAGTCCATCATCAGCTCAGCAAAGGGCAGCAGCAGCGGCTTCCATTTAAATACAGGAGAGGGCAAAGTCTGCACATGCCCAGTTTGCAGCTTATTCCATCTGATTCCAGCTTCACTTTCATGACAGTATAAAACTGATGCTCACTTAAAAGTGTTGGTACCTGGTTTTTGCCGTTGACCAATTCATGTCTGAATTGTAATGCTATTCCCACACTACATTTGTACGAAGACAAAGTTAAAAGGTGGAGTTCAATCTGTCTTAAATATACAGTCCTTTTTCACCATATTGGTTAGTTTTTTTGTAGTCTGCTTTTAAAGACGATGCACGTGTACAGTTCTGCTGAAATTGTCAGAACTCAAATAGATTCTGATATTCAACAACGTGCTTGTATGCACTTCTGTCTTGTAGAATTAAGGTCATGGTTGTTTGTTGGTCGACTTCTAAAAATAAACAAAACATAGGGATAAACCCTGACATCATCCTTTTCTGCTCTTTAGTTAAAAACCAAACCAAAACAAAAAAATCCTGTACAATACCTTAGGTAGAAAACAGAAAATATCCATCTGTTTCAAGAGTTGCCTACTTTCTTTTCAGTTGTGTTTAGGTCAAGTACACATGAATGGATTCTCATTCACAAAATCTGGCTTTACATTCCACTGTGCAAAGACATGAATTGCTGTATTCCCAGCTGAAGGCCCACTACTGTTGTAAAGTGAAGTTTACTTGCAACAGAGAATTAGGCACAGTGTGTGAAAAAGCTCTTATAGCAGATACTGCAGCCTAAGTATCACAGAGTTTAGGCCTTCCAGCCACCGTCCAAATGACCCTGATGCAAGCTATTATCTTCACTGCAGTCGGTATTAAAAATAGATGGTGTGAACTGTTACTGGAAAGCCTTTGTGAGAAGGCTGTGTTAGTAATGGTGGGAACTGCATTCCCCAGCTCTGCACATGTACCTTTCCTTAAATGAACACCTGCAGTACCTAACCATAAACTGAAGGACTGCATTTCTTTGTGTGAATGGGAGCTGTGCCCCTAATGAAAGGCACTCACCCATAGTCTTGCAGTTTCCCTTGATAGTCATTTAAGGAGGGAAGCAATACTTTTGTTAGTCATTTAAGGAGGGAAACAATCCTTGTTGCCACCAGGCCACTGGACATTAACCAGCAGAGACACTTAGACTCTACAGGCTATCAAACCATGACACCCTAAGAATAATTATTAGCAGGTCCATTGTGAAAGCAAGAGAGATTTCATTGAGTGTCCCTGCCCTGCAGTGTTGGTAGACACAACCAAGCCAGATTTAAACCAGCTGTGGCAGAACTGCACCCAGAGGTGGCTAATCCACTGACTAGTTTCACCTTTGCCAATGTCTGAGATTGTGTGGTCACTTTGTAGAGTGGGCTCTTCCCTTCTTCTCTGTGTGACATCAGACACATGAATATCATGGCAATGTGGATGTGACATAAATGTACAAACTTCAGAAGACATCAATCTGAACTCCAAATCCAGCCCTCTGTGCATGCACAGTGCTTGCACCGTAAGGATGCCACAGCAAACAACAGTGTTAGACATTTTGGGGGACAGAACCTTTTTGGAAGATAATTTTGCATTTTACTACTAAATAGTCAGGAGATATCATTACAGAAAGCCACAATGTGAAATGGCAGAGACTTGTACTATCTTCAAATTAAGTTTATCGAGGACTAGAGCAGAAAGTACAGAAATGATTGATGTGCAGAGAAATGAGACAATGGTAAGTCTCCTATGTGTGAACTCTGTACTCAAAGGAGTTGCACAGTTACATCCTGATCTTGTAAACTGATAAGACAAAGTTTCAGATATGCAATCTTCAAGACAAGCATAAATACTAGATCACATGTGATCTTGGACTTGACATTCTCATTTTCATTGCTTAGATCCTCTTAGTTTTCTGCTTTATGTCTTAGTGGACAATATCAACACTCAATCTGTTTACATACAGCTTGTACATAAAGTTCTCCTTTTCCCTGGGTCACAAATGACATTTTTCTTCCTTCTTATTTCCTCTCATCTTAACAAGAAGTCACTGCACTGAAAATATTTCATTTCCAGTTAGTCTGGAAGCATTGACATTCTTGGCATTTTTAGGGTAGCCTGAAATATGGATGGGAGAGTAATCAAACCATAGAATAAATATATATTTTTAAAGTAAATTGGACACTATAGAAGCTGTCTTCCTGCTTCATTAGATTTGGTGTAATACATGCCTTTGCAGAAAGATTACTTTGATTAGTTCAGCAGCTCCTGAGAGCCTATTATGAAAGAATATGCAGTGTAAAGGAGAGAAAGCAAGTTTTCCCACTGGGAAGCAGATGCTAGTCCCAAAGAGGGCTGCTCATTTGGTACCCTTCCTTAGCCTTTGGACTCTGCTTCTCTGAATGCTAGGCTCTTGCAAGCTAAGGAAACTATTTCTGAAAATGAGACCTAACACTCAGATTCATGGCCAGTGGAGATGTTCTCATTTGATGGCAGTTGTGTGATCCTTTATTATGGCCAATTGCTAGAGGCAATTCAGCTGCCCTGTTTTATGTGTGATGACTCTGCTTCCAGGGAAGGAGAGGAATCATCCTACAACTGTACAAGGTTTGAAGTATGAAATATCTCACTCTCTTGTCCCTAGGGCTCAGGAAGTCGGACAAAGACATGCAGCAATACACTCACAAAATTTTTTTTCTCTCAGGTTTTCTTTGCTTTATATGCAGTGTTAAACCAGAGAGAACAATTCTAATTATTTTGTTGAGCAATAATTGTTTTTCTTTATAGTTAAGGCTACTTCACTTGAATTTATTCAGAATATTAGACTTGTGGATCAGGAGGGAAATTTGGCTTCTCTCTCTCTCTCTCTCTCCCTTGCTTATTCTCTACCAAAAACTTACCTCTGTTGTATTTCTGGGAAGCCTAACGGAAAAAACATATCAGTTTATGACCCCAGGCACTTTCCAAAGACATTAGGTCATTCTAAAGCTTTCCAACATTTCTGCCACAAGTTCTGTGTGTGAAACATGCAGAAAGTTCTCCTGGCTTATGGCCCAGGTCTGAATTGCCCTCCAGTAACTTCTAGAGAAAGGAAAACCTTTCTAGCATTAATCTGTCAGAATTCTGTCACATTGAACTATGGTGAGAACAGCCTTCCCACCTTGAGAGCCCTGCTTTCAGCTGGATGCCAGCTGCCTACCAAGCTACTTCATCCGTCCCCCTCTTCAGCAGGATGAGGAGGGAAGGAGAAAATTAGAAAAAACCTGTGGCTCAAGATAATGGCAGTTTAATAAAACAAAAGCAAAGACTTTGTGGAAGCAGAGGAAAAGAAAATACTTATTGTCTACTTCCCATCAGCAGGAGGTGGCCAGCCAATATCCCGGAAGCAGAGCCTCAGTAGGCACAGCAGTTACCACAGAAAACAAACATTGTAATAACAAATGCCCCCTGCATCCTCCTTTCCTTGCTGAGCAGACATCATAATGAGATGGAATATCCCTTTGGTCAGCTGGATCTGCTCTCCTGGCCACAGCCCCTGCCAAGATCTTGCCCACCCGCAGCCCACAGGCGAGGGGGGAATGCTGGAGAGGCAGCGTTGCTGCAGTGCCAGCACCGCTCAGGCAGAGCCAAAGCCCTGGGCTGTGAGCAGCCCCTTCCTGGGTACCAGCACAGCACAGCTCAGGGAGGGCTGCGGTGTCAGAGTGAGCTCCAGCTCAGATGGACCCAGGACAACATCTTGCTGCTGATAATTTACTTCTGCTCACAGTTTTTCTATAAATTACAGGCAAAAACAGCAGAAAGACCACAGACTCCAGGACCCTTGCAGGAAACTGAGAAAATTGTCTAACAGAAAAAGGGAAAGATAACATCTGGATAAAATTTAATTAAAGTCCAAATGAGTATAAGATTTCTTTCACAATGACGGGAAAAGAACTCATTTTCCTCTTCTTTGGCTGGGAGCTGTGGATGGAATTAGGTGTTAGCTCATCTCCAGGAATACAGAGTGCACTGCAAGAAGAGGTAATCTGCTGCCTACAAGGTAAACAGACTGCTTTTGGGAAATGCTGGGAGAGTTAAAAGACCAGGGGCATGGTCAGCTGGGCATTAATGACTTTGAGGCACCTTTACAAAAGCTCACCTGGGATTCTTTAAACTTTCTGAAAGACCACCTAGGTTTCCAAGGCCAGCATATGGAAAGAGGAACAGACTTCTCAGAAATGGTAAAGTCACACTTTTCTTTGAGTGCAGACACAGGTCTGGGATTGGAGTTACCACAGAGGAGGCATTCACAAAACCAAGTTGTTTGGTATTGTTAATAAGTTGAGTGATTGTATTTTTTTACCCATTGTGCTATGGGGAATGATAGCAATAATTCCTGTAAACATCTTGGGGAAGACAATTCTCAGTACTCAAAATATGCTTTGCTTGCCCTCTAGATGTGCTAGGTAATCCTGTAAGGAGGATAAAGGGCAGAACTATCAATTTTTCATTTGAGTGTCCATTTATTTGCAGTATCTGCCTTTCAAGAGGCAAAATCACACTATAAAATCTGAGTACAGAGCAGCCTTCCCCACACAGCTCCCCCTGGATAATGTGAGCCTTGAGTACCTCCTTTGGCATTGCTTCTCAGTGGCTGCAACCTCTGAAAACATGTTTCTCCCAAAAGAATTTTTAGGGCCCTATTTTTGTACTGGTACCTGCAACAAATATATCTGCTTAGATATGCAGGTGCAAACTGGTTGCTCGTTTTACACAAAACTCTGGTTTCAACCATCTGTGTTCTTTTTGCCTTTTAACAGCTAAGATCTGTCAGAGGGGAGCTCTCCCACTTCTTAGCTGTTCTGAGAGAGTGCACTGCAATTTTGGCACCCCAAATAACAAGGCAGGGAGAGAACTGTGCAATATATATCTTCTGTGTGCTCTATTAATCATAAAAATTAAATTTAGTTCTTTGTGCCTGCAGCAACTTGGCAAGGGGAC